CGGAGAGGCAGACTATGAAGAAAGACCTGGAGGCCTAATTCCAAAAATCAGTCAATGAAACCTTGGTGGATCACAACAGGACACTGTCTAATTCACCTGCTTTGGGCATATCATCAGGAGGGATCAATCTTGGGAGAAGGGCATCCTGTTTAGTAGTGAGATGGAGAGGGATAAGCATTGTAAGGGGGCACTGAAACATACTGGGGATTATGAGAGTGATGCAGGATCAGACAGTGTTTCATTCTGATTTGTAGACAGTGATTAGGAGTCAGAGCCAACTTGACAGCAGCTAACAACAGCTGCATCGGATTCCTGATGTCTGTCCCAGCTAGTGTATTTTAAATTTGCAAGGCTCCCGCCACCAGACGCTGCCACAAAACACTGCACTGATGCCAAATTATGCATGCAGAGGTGGTGACCTTTGAATTCCCACACATCCAGACACCTAGCATCTCTTATTTTCCAGTTTTCATGCACAGAATCCTTGGAAGATGGCATGGTTGAGGAATGCAGACTGTCCTTGATGTTGGGCATCAACATACCTCGACATGTAAATGCACTTGAGGCTGCTTGCGTGTATTCTTTGGCCTGACCAGTGCAGGGCTTAACAGAAGTGCCTTGGGAGCAGCCCTAGACAGTGCCAGATGGGAATTAGTGGTTAAAACCCAGCTACTGCCCTCCTGGATGGGTGATTCTGAGGCATGTTTTACACCATCTCTCAGAAAGGCCCCTGCAAATCTGGTATCATTGCATTGGCTTCTCTCCCTCCTGAGGGTCACATCTCCCCTCCCCTTCTGGTGCCTCAGGTAACCTCCCACATTCATTGCTGACATTCAAGGCCCTCATATTCGAGGAACTAACTTAAAATACAGCCATTTGGGGCATAGAAAGGAAGACTCCACCATGGGAGGGCAGGATGAATGGGGTCAGAGGTCATGGACTCATCATATGATTGCAACTCAGTTTTAAAAAGAAATCTTGTAGCATTTTCCCCACCAAAGATGATACTATATTAAAGAGAGGACAGGGTGTGTGCATATACATATACACACGTGTATACATACACACACACATATGCACTTCGCAAGTTGTGCGTGAGTTCTTTGAATCCCAAACCCACTGACAGCAATTGAATCTAACTCATAGCACTCCTATCTTGGGTTTCTGAGGCTTTATAAGTCACTAATGGAAGCAGACTCATCTTTCTCCTGGGGAGCAGCTAATGGGTTTGAACCACAACCTCTCAGCCCACAGCTTACCCAACAGCACCACCGGGGCTTCTTCTTGCCCTTTGAAGTCATTGTAGTAATGAATTTCACCACCACCGTCATGCTTTCAGATAGATCCTAGAATGAGAAAGTGGCAAGAGCGGGAGAGGGGGTTTGTGAGCTTTTCGGGTAAACATTTAACCTGGTCACTCTTACGGTGCTGTTATTAACAACAAAGGATATTAGTGGTGTAGTGGTGAAGTGCTTTGCTGCTAAACCTACCAGCCACTCTGAGGGATAAAGATGTGACCGTCTGTATCCATAAAAAGTGTAGCCTTGGAAACCCTATGGATCAGTTCTTCTCTGTCCTATAGGATCACGATGAATCAGAATCTACTCAACACAGTGACTTTGTTTGGAGATTTCATGAACAACCAAACCAGAATTATTGTTGTTTGGGGAGCAAACTGATTAGAAAGCATTTAGTTGATCCTTCTCTGTCTTCCCCCTTGCCCCACCCAAACTCTGCCTTCACCTGAGTCTTTTACCAACCACATTCAACTGAGTGAGTGAATCTACCGCACTTACAGTCCCTGTCATTTGCTACTATTGAGACTGTGGCTGGCTTAGCTATGGAAGAGAAGTTGTGGCTGCAGCACAGGGAAGGCACTCTTGACCAAGTGCTGAGAGCCCACAGCTAGTGAAGGATCCAGGTTCTGTGTGGGAGAGGGTCACTCCGGGCCAGCATAGGAGGAATAGCCCTGTGTTCATGTCCTCTAGCAGGGACCCACCTAGAAAATTAGATAAGGGAATGGACCATCTTGGAGGGGGTGTACCACCTACAGTGGTACTGTCCAGAAAATCCATGATTATGAGCCTAAAACAGGCTGTATGGGGCTGGAGGGACTCCTGTTGGGAAAGTGAGTTGCCCTGTTCACAGATTTCATAGAGAACAGCACATGAGTTGTTTTTCAAGGAGGAAAGCATTTTAAATCACCAACACACACCAAGAGGCATGCCGGTTGTTCACCTCTGCATTTTCTGTCTGTCACTTTCAGGTAGCTTATTGTTTGAATGTAGGAATTTAAGACTATCAAGGAGAAGGCAGAAACAAAAGCATACATTAGCAAACTATCATGTCCTAGTTTTTCTTCCCAGTCTTTAAGGCATCTTTTGATGTTGGAATTGAGTTCTCCAAATTCCCCAAAGCCCTCAACACACTAAGCATCAATGAACTCATATCAGGAAGCAGCTGCTAGATTGACCATGTCAACATCTCATCTCTTAATCTTTGAGTCTCCTAACCCAGTTACACATGCAGCGATCTCCTAGCTACCCACTTGTGATTCTCAACTATTTTATTTTCAAGTCTCAGCTTTGACCTTTGCCAAACTTCTGAGCTACCTCAGGGAATAGAAACTTAATTTCAACAGCTTTGACCAGAAGCAAACAATGATATAGAAAGGAAACACATAAAATCTAAGTTGTGTGCTGTATTTCAAAGTGTACATGGGATGCTTTCTGGATTGATATTCCTCTTGCTTCAGTAGAGCACGCATGTGAACATTTGATCTCCTTAAATACACCATCCATTTGCAGCATTATCCCCAGCTAATTTAACAGAGTAGTTAGTAGTTTGGGCCAGGGCAGTGCTAGGTCTTGGGATTGCTAGGCTGTGTGACACAGACTGTAAGTAACAATCTTAAAGTCCTAATTTACACTCTTCTGCAAAGTTCAGTGGTGACTTGTGTGCAAACATTTGAAATTTTAACAGAAAAGTACCAAGTTCCTGAAAATCAATGAAATATTATTATTAATTTAAAAAGTGTGGAGCTAGTAGAAAAAGGAGAGTTATTATAATAGACAAAAAATCCCAAGGACCCCAGCCAGGGCAGATCCAGTGGAACTAGAGAAGAAAATGAAAGACAAATTAGAGTAAGTTTTCCTTAAACATATTTGTTCCCTGAACCCCTTAGTTATCCAGTGGACTTCTATATCCCTTCTTAAACAAACTATTTTGAATCTATACAGTAAAATGTAGAAAATTGCAAATGAAAGGAAATTGACAAAGCAAATGAAAGAAAATTGACAAAGCATTCGCACAGAAATATGTGCTGTGGCAATGCATGTGCTGCTTCATTAATTATTTGAAATAAGCATAAAGCTGGAGAAGATATGACTAAGATCTGTAACAAGTATTAATATAGTGTTTAAGTACGGCCTCGGACAGTGTTCCAGGTTCTGCTAACCGAGTGTGACTGGTGACTGGCATGCTTCTCTGAAGAAAATGCCTCCAGTTAGAAATTCATGGAAATACATTTTAAAAAAATCTAATTATTGTCAAATTGATGGATGTCTGGTGGTGGTGTGGGTTAAACATGGGCTGGGAACCACACGGTCAGCAATTTGAAACCACCACCCGCTCCTTGGGAGAAAAATGAGGCTTTCTGCTCTGGAAAGAGTTACAGTCACAGAAACCCACAAAGGCAGTTCTCTGCCCTGTAGGTTGCTATGGGTCATGGAAGCAAGGATGTGCCTTTTCTTCTGTCCGAGTTGATCAACCGCATATCAAAATCAGAATTCTAAAATCAGGTCTGGTGACGTTGTATCAGATCTATAGCACTGAACATGTTGTCTGTACTGAGTTGCTTTTTTTCCCCTCTTCTCCAGCCCTGGAGGAGTTCCCCAAGGACATCTTCAGCAATGAGGACAGAAAACAAGGGGCAGTGGTCCTCCATGTACTCTGTGTAAGTACCACTCCCTAGGTTCTGCCGGCAGGGGCCCAGAGGATGGGCCTGGCCGAGTTGGAGGTATGTGCTGCAGCGGCCCTGCCACTTCCAAATGCTTTTGATGAGCTCTTCTGAGAACCCTGGGGAGGGGGAGAGAGGTGGGGAGGTGGGTGGGAGACTCCTTATTACTTGAGATTTCTATACTCACAAGCGAACATCTTCACAATGAAATATTCCTGGCACACTCACTGTGTTTCACAGACATTCGCATGCGCAGAGTGGCAAAAAATGCCTAGCACAAGTTAAAGGAGGGCGGTGGTTTGAGATTGGCTAACTCAGTGTTCAGGGAGACTCTGTAGAACATACATAGTGCAAATAAGGAAGGCAATGCACCAGTTTTTGAAGGCCAGAGGCTCATAGATCAGAAGATAGCTCTATGCCTTGTTTTCTTCTTCATGTCAAAAACCTGGATTTAGAAGTCAAATCAACTTGTTTGCCATTATTTAATCTTTCTTTCTTTGCTCAAACTCCATTCTCTTGGGAAGGCCTTTCCTAGTCAGCCTTTCTAAATGCCTGTCTTCCCCTTTTTGTTTTGTAACTGTCGAGTTTGTCTACAACCCCTGGTGACCCCATGCTCAGTGAGACAAAATGCTAGCTAAACCTGTACCCCACTTCCCATGACCTCACAGATAAGAGACCATTGTGCTCCTTAGGGTTTCATTCTCCGATTATTGGATATAGGTCGCCAGACCTTTATTCTGGTCTGTCTTAGTCTGGAAGCTCCATTGAAACCTATTCAGAATCATAGCAATACGCAAACTTCTACTGACAATGGGTAGTGGCTGTGAATGAGGGGCATCAGCCGGGAATGAATCTGAAGGAACAGAACCTCCTGAATGGAAGGTGAGAATTCTACCATTGAATCCCCACTATCCTTATCTTTCCCATACCTGACTTTATGATTCTCCACACTACTGGTCAACATGTATGTGTTTTCTTAATGTCCGTCATCCTTAATCACATGTAAGCCCCATGTTTTATACTAACTTACTAACTAAGCCCATTCCTGGTACTCTGCAGGAACAAAATCTTTGTTAAATTGCTGAATTAAATGCAATAACAATTGGCACAGTCTCTGGTACAGAGTAGATGCTCAAGAAAAGTTCATTGATTTGTCTTCTGGACTCTCAAAGTCCATTGGTACCCGATAATCTTCCTCTCCAGAACCAGGACTTTGATTAGCCTGATTCTTGTTTTGAGAGTTTGAGGAGGGAATGTGTGAATATGTATTTAAGGAGGGGCTCCAGACCAGGGAAAATCTAGGCTGGCTTCTGGCCTGGACATGTCATGTAGCCTCCCAGCTCTATGGGATTCAGTCTCACCTGAACTGAAAGAACAAAAACCAAAACTTCCATCCAGTCCTTTCCAACTCGAAGTGGCCCTACAGGACAGGGTAGAACTGCCCCTTTGGGCTTTGGAGATTGACTCTTGATAGGGGTCTAAAGCCACTTGCTGTCTCTAAAATTCACTTTTTGTTCTGTGTTTCCAATGGCCTTTTGCTGTCATCATGTATGAAAGTCTTGATGTCATTCCATAGTTCATCAGGAGTAGAGTCAAATCTGTTCTTGAGACGTTCTCTAAAATCAGGTGTGGTATACTGTATTCAAGGTTGCATTTTGGCTTTCATTGACTTGTTTTTATTTTCTTCAGCTTTAACCTGAACTTACAAATGAGTAATTAATAGTATGTCCCACAGTTGGCCCCTGGACTAATTTTATCCACTGATATTGAGCTTTAACTTGAATTTGGCCTATGAGCAACTGATGGTCCTTTCCACAGTCAGCTCTTGACCTTGTTTTGGCTGATTACAGCAAACTTCCCCATCATCTCTTTCCACACATATAGTCAGTTTGGTTCCTGTGAATTCCATATGGCGAAATCCATGTATATAGTCACCATTTAAATTGTTGAAAATTACATTTGCCATGAATAATTCCTTGATCTTGTAAAATTTGGTCATATGATCTCCAACTTTATTTCTATCCCCAAGGCGTATTTTGCAAGTATTGTTTCTTCCTCTTTATTTCCAACTTTTGAATTCCAGTTGATTGGAATTCAATGCATCTTGATTGCATTATTTATCAATTTCAGACAGTAGAAAAATTTTAATTTCTTCATCTTTAGTTTTAGTGGTAGGTGTATATATTTGAGTAATAGTTGTATTATTGGGAATTCTTTGTAGGGGGTTAGAGATTATTCTGTCATAGACAGCATTGTATTTCAAGATACATTTTGAAATGTTCTTTATGATAATGGATGTGACACCCTTCCTCTTAAATTTCTCTTTCCAGCATAGTAAACATTATGATTGTCCAACTCAAAATGGTCAATACGAGTTCATTTCAACTCACTAATCTCTAGAGGTGTTAGGCTGGGTTTTCTAGAGAAACAAGACCAGTGAAATTCATATATGTGTAAGAAAGGGCTTTATATCTAGAGATAATCTTGTATCAAGAAAGTATCCCAGCCCACTCCAACTTAAGTCCAAGGGCCCAATACCAGCTAAAGTCCTCTGCAGACTCATGTCACTGTAGGCCTGTGTTGCAGAAAGATGAAGTGGGCTGTAGGAAGATCACAGGCTGGGTGGTGCAGAGTCCCACGGATCTAAGGTCAGTGGGAACATGGTAGAGCGCTGGTAGATCTCAAGGTCAGGCAACTCAAATGGGGCCACCCCTTGAGGCAGACATGGAGTCCTAGGGAAGTCTCAGCCAAGTGGAAGACACAGAGAGAGGGGGAGGGGAGGAGTCCCCAGCGGGTCACACCTCCCAGGATGCATTATCAGGCTGTAACCTGATTGGCAGGTGGGACTCTACCTCTCCAAAGTGCAAGTTGCCATAAAATCTATCTACTACACTTTGATATTGATCTTTATGCATTCTACTTCATTTTTAACCATTTTAATTTCCTTAAATTCATTTTTCATACATTCCACATTCTGATTACTATTAGATGCTTGCAGCTGTTTCTTCTCATTTTCAGTCATGCCCTATTAAAAAGTGAATGTCCCCCAAAACTTTACTCTATCCATGTCGTTAGGCCCATTCTACTGTGAGAAGGCATTTGTGGTAATAGCATGAGTAGCATTTTACGTACATTCTAAGCCGTCTCACAATCCTGCTATAATTGATAAGGCTTGTAGGGTCTAATCACTCAGAAGGAATTTCTAGTATGTTCTTCTTTCTAGTCTGTTCTTCGTCTGGGAGCTCCACTGCAATCTACTAGTCATCCTACTAATATTTGAAATACCAGTGACATCACTTCCAGTATCAGAGCAACATACAAGCCACCGCAGGACAACAAACTGACAGCTATGTTATTTCTGATTGCTTCCTATGTCTGTGAAAGTTGGACAGTGAATAAGGAAGACTACAAAGAATTGATGTATTTGCATTACGGTGTTTACAAAAGAATATTGAAAGTCCTGAGGACTGCCAGAAGAGCAGACGAATCTGTCTTGGAAGAAGTATACCCAGAGTGTTCCTTAGAAGCGAGGATATACTTTGGACATGTTATCGGGAGAGACTAGTCCATGGAAAAGGACATCATAGTTGGTAAAGTAGAGGGACAGCAAAAATGGGAAGACCCTGTGTATTGACACAGTGGCTGTAACACTGAGCTGAAACTTACCAGCGGTGAGGATGGCACCGAATCAGACAGTGTTTCATTCTGTTGTGCACGAGGTCACTGTTAGTCAGACCTGACTCAGCCGCACCTGGCAGCAACAACAATGATTTACTGCTGAGAATAAACTTCTCAATTTAATTGGAGCAGTCGTCTAGTCTCTTTAGGGTGTTTATGGGTCTTGTGAGTTTGGAATCCAGAAAGAGCAGAGGTGGAGGCTGCTGCCTGACATCCGGAGCATCTGATAGACAGGCTGTGGGTCTATGGGGTGAGACCATTGGGGCTGAGGATCAACTTCCAAGGTGGCTTTTCCACCCTCAGGGTTGGTACCTTGGCTGAGACAGCTGAAGGACAGACTCAGCAGGGACTGCTACCCAGAACACCTGCAGGGTTGGTACCTTGGCTGAGACAGCTGAAGGACAGACTCAGCAGGGACTGCTACCCAGAACACCTGCATGTGTTCTCCTCAGCATAGGAATGTCCAATAGTGCCCTTTTATATGTGGCAGCTAGGACTCGAAGAGGGAGGAATATGTTCAAGGCTGAACCTTCATGGTCAAGATACACAGCATCGTTTCCACAGTAGCCTATTGCAGTCACAAGCCCACCATAATTGAAGGGGATGAAATAAGGACCTTCCGGCACAGTTCAGGGCATATGGTCATGCTTTACGACAAGCAGTACCAGTGAGTAGATTCAGGCTTTGGAGTCAGACTAAACATGTGTCTGAAGCCCACTTCTTTTTGTCACTGCTGAGTGTATTGCCTCTGACAAGATAACTAACCTCTCTGGGCCATGAACCACCCTTAGTGCAAACTCCTTCCTCACTGAAAAAATCTACTCTTTAAGCTCTTAAGCCCCACCATCTCAAACAAACCAGAACAAACACATGAGAAGTCACTCGACAGCACAATCATTCTCTAAAGTTACCAAACAATAAAGCGGGATCTTTGCCAACATCCCAATCCCCTACCTGTCATGAGGGCTGAACACACACTGAGCCGTCAGTAAGGATGCCAGCTGCTGCCTTTGGTTTCCAGGATGCTCTCCTGTCCCGGGCTGAGGAGACACTGGTGCTACGTCAAAGCCAGAATTGCCTGGCACCCAGTAGCACCCTGATGTCTTGACACCTGACACTGTAGAATTCCACTCTCAGCTCCAACATCGTAAGCATTTATGCTCCAGAAATGGTGGTGCTTCTTGCTGCCCTTTTTTCTACCACTGCCCTTTCTTCTGGATCAGAGACTCAGTGGCCCCGGGGACACGAGGGCCTTTTCCATGTCAGCCTCTGCTGTTGGACATGGTGGCCCCTGGTGGATAAAGGCAAAATGGACAAAC